CTTTGGCAAGCTGATCTTCAAATAAATTGGAACATCATGCTAGTCATTCCTTTATGCTAAACACGCTAGTCACATTCTTTGCATCTATCAATCTTGTAAACTAATGCTTACATTTATTAATTTAGCACTTAATTTATTTCATCTTAGTATGGTTTAACACTAGAGCTAACGATAGTGCACCGATTTCCAAAATAGCAAGGAAAAGAAGTCATGGAAATACTGTCACATGTGAAGTCATTTTGTAACAAGCTATTAACTGAAACAAAATCTTGTAAACAGTGTAATTTTGTACGTGCAGAAATTATTCCAAAATACAGATTTACTGAGTGTAAATCAAGGAAAATCCTAGCCAGTCCTGCCTCCCCCAGAAATGTTCTTTTCCATCTTTATGGCAATTCTATTATGAGACATGTGAAAACAATAATTCAGGACAACTGCATGTTCTGTGCATGCAGCATTTAGAATGTCAGTCGAGAGCTATATTACGAGTGTCTTTTTTCTTAAGTTCAGTTTAGGAAACACGTCAACTCAGGTCAGCTCCAGGGAAGACAACCCCAAGGCTCTACAGACTATTTTATCATGGCACAGATAGGCTTGTAGCAATGCTTCAGTGCAAGAGTTTCATGTATACTGCTTGGTATTATACGACACAAGAGTTCAACTCAGCTTTGTAGCAAAAACAGTAGAGAGGGACTTGAGAACTAGAAACTTAGTCTCGAGAGATACAGTCTGTCTCCTGGCCTCACGTAAAGTGGGGACAGGAAATTCTATAGCCAGAGAATTTCTACTTTTATAGGTTATGCAAGCATGTAACAGAGACACCTCTCAGATTCCTTTACTCTCTGAAGTGTTGCTTAAACAATGTAAAAGAGCCAAAGCTTCCTAATTACTTACAGCTCAACCTGATCTTACTATCTGTAGAAAACAAACAGAGCATCCCACAGGTAAGGGCATTTGCCAGGCCTGAGCACAGAAGAGCTACCTTGTGATTTTTTTTCTTCTTCTTCCTGTTTCAAGGCTGACTCCAAGTGCCTGCCTCAAAACAAAATGATCAGACACTCTCAGCGTGGTCACCCTAGTACTTGTCAGTTTGGATTTCTTAGGCACAGAACAGAAAATAAAGAACGGAGGAAGCACTGGCCTTAGGTGACGTGACCCATGCACTCACCGACTCCAGCAGACAGTGACGGCTGACCTTGAGCGTGACCTTCGAATGAGGCCTTTTCATGTGCACTTGACGCAGCTCCCGCTGGAAGAAGTTCACCTTGTCCTGGAAGGTCTCTGAGCCTCCTGAGAACAGTGACAGCTGGGGTCAGGCCTGAGCTGCCAACATCCCACATGCCTAGGGGGCATTTCTAAGGCTAACTGCACAGCTCAGCTTTGTAATTCAGGATGAGTTTGTAACAGCAGGTTTGGGACAGAAGCCTCAAGGCAGCTGCCGTTAGTTTTGCAGACATTCAGCTGCTTACAGGGTGCATTCAAAGTTAGCAACAGGAAAGCCAAGCTGAAAAGGAATAGCTAGCATTATGAAATTCATTCACTGGGAGTGCCCTCAGTTGTGAAACATGAACTGCAAGAATCACAGAATTCTCAGAGGTCATTCAGTGCTGACAATCTTCATTAATAAGGGAAAATAGCAGACTCGAGTGCTAACTTCCTGACTACTGCACCCACCTCCCAGCCTCTTTACCTATGTTTTTATGCAGAGAGCGAATGAAAGTGGCTGCCAAGATGTTCCTCTCCTTGCAGCTGAGCTCCACAGGGGGCTGGATCCCATCATCCACCACCAGTGTCAGTAGTTTGTGCACAGGGTCAGGACCAAGGTATGAGAACTAGCAGCAAAAAGATGCAAGAAAGGGAAAATCTATCATGCAGAAGGCACAGCATGTTCAGCAGACAGAGCAACACCACCTGCGCTCTCAGACTTCCTCTGCCCACCCATGCAATGCAGTTAACAGTAACACTGCTTTAAGCACTGAACTCCACTTGGCAGCCTGCCTCAAACCTCACTCCCTAGGCTAGGGTCTTCAGAGGGGACAGTCACAGCAGGAACATGGGGAAAACTGAAGAAATGCGAAAGGAATCAGGATTTACGCCTAGGATTGGAGGGAAAAAAGTCAAGAAGGGGTAGCACAGCTCATTCCTACTCATACATATTAGCAGCATTTAGGCACTAAGAGGGAATTCCAGAGTCTGAATCATACTCAGCAGAAAGTCACTTAGTGAGTATAAACCCTGATGAAGAGACTCATTCACAAGGACCACAAGCCCACGACAGCAGCAGCAATGGTAGCTACACAGACTGACTCACCTTTGTGCCAGGACACACTCTAAACGTGAAAAGGCGCCAAGGAATTATCTTCAGGTAGAACTCCTTTACTGAGAATTGCTGAGTAATCACAAGAAAAAGAAAATGTTGAAGGTCACATATGTACTTCAAGTATTTCCCTGAAACACAAACCCACTAGACAGACACCTCTTCCAACCCCAGGGGCAGGTTTCTGCTGATTTGTGTGGCATCTTCCTCTGGCATGATACATAAAAACCTTGAAAGGTGGCAACAGCGTACACAGAGCCCCAAACAACTTTTCAGTAAGATTTACTACAGACATCTGTGATGCATGTGGGATACCAGTGTGATAGACTATACAGCAGTAAGCCATGGTGTTCAGCAAAACACTTCTAGTCTCACTGGAGGAGTTCTCACTTGAGAAGTTGAATTCAGAACAAGATTGTAACACATTAACAAAAGGCTCTGGAAAAAGACACACGAAAAAATAATATCACCCTCCATCTATCAGAACTATTGCTATTACTTCTTGATTTTCAGAACAATAATTTCAAGCAATTTTTAGAAAACACCTGCAATTGCTAAATATGGAAGATTTGTGGAAATTTTAGTGTTCGCAGTATTTCTGCCAGAACAGACACCTACCAACTGTGGAACTGTTGTTTTCCACGGATTACTCTAAGACCAGATTTAAGCATCCTTAGACAAAACAGAAAAGCACTTTCTGCACAAGCCTGTTATATCTGCAATAACGGGAAATACAATCAGCAGCATTTCTCCAGAAAGTGAGCAAATATGAACAGCAGAATCTTAAGGAAATAATAGCATGGTAACATTCTGTCTGTCAAACTCTCTTTAGCCAAATCTGAACCATCTACATCTGGGTAAGATAAGGGAGACAAGGAAGCTCTATAGTTGCAGTGTTTTTGGACCACATGTCCACGAGTCATAACTTTGTGTTCTTTACCTTAGGTGACACATAGCAGTACACTTTTTTGGGTTTCTTCACTTTCTCGGGAGTTTGGCTGTCAGAGGGAGAATCTTCATCCTCATCCTCGGTTGCCGTAGAAGAGCGGCGCTGGGAGGAGCTCAGGTGTGTGGGCGGGAGGTGCCACTGTGTGTTGGTGTAGCTGGAAGCATTGTACAGGTAGGCTTCAAAGTAAATGCTGACACCCGAGGTGGACACGTTGCGTTCTACAATGTTCTTTTCATTCTCTGTAGGAAATAGATAGAGAAAAGTTATATGCAACCAACTTAATTCAAGCAAGGACCAAAAGGCAAAGAAACCACAGAAGATCACTAAATTAGATTTAAAAACCCTCTACCTATCCAAAGGAAAATCCCGTCAAATTAATCTCTAAAGAGAACCCACGAGCAAGAATGCAGAAATTTCAAGACACTAGTTTCTCTGTCCTGGCTTCAGAAAATAGATGGTTCAAGGAGAGAAAAGAAAAAAAGAGAGAAAAAAAGCCATACAGAATATCCCTCTCTCTCAGAATATTAGCCCGAAGCCATAGCTATGTGACAGCCATATATGCTTTTGACTCACTCCTTGAGAAATCAGGAATCACAAAATGGTAAAACAATATATATCTTTCTCCACTCTTCTTCATCCATATAGCTTCAGGTACAATAAGCAATTGGCTCGCTCACTGTATGGCTCTGCTAGAGCAAGGACTAGCAAGCAACACAATTTACTCATCTCAGAGGTAAATCCCCCAAGATAAAGGGGGACACATGTGGCTTGGATCTGCTACGGGAATAGAGAACATAAACTTTTAGCAAACTCTCTTGTCAGCAACAAATTCATTTGGATTGTTTATTTGTCTGCTTCAGGGATGGTTGTTCCCTCCAAAACCAAAATTGTCTGCCATTTCTCCACTCTGGTGCTGACCTGTGGACAGCAGCACACCCTGCAGATTGTTCCACGAGATGAGTATTTGAATGAATAGGCATTTTCTTTGAACAATTAAGCATGGCTAGCACACAGCAAAGCCACGTTCAGCTCTGCTGCATGAGTGTGCACAGGATTCTGCAGGATGGCACCTGGAGAACAAATACTGAGCAGCTCTTGACTCACCACTTAGGACAATGATGTCAAAATCCCCATTGCTTATGGGCTGGTTCTGGTAGGAGATGCAGGCATGGAAACATCCCCTGCGGTGCAAGGTGAGTCGCAAGAACACTTGGCAAGTTTGCCGATTGGACACCACGGACTTCTCAAACAAAACATCCGAGCTCTCGTCATCTTCCTGAGGACCCAGCTAAACAGAAAAAACACATTCTTAGAGGCAGCAGTCTTCTGTAGCTCACGTGAAGGCGAGCAGCAATGGGTAAGTTCCCACTCACCTCATGGATGGAGAGGCTGTAATTGTGCTCATCTATCAGGGACACAGAATTGCTGGTGGGATTGTCATACTCGTCTCGTGGAACAATCTGCAGGGTGTGCTGCTGTCCACAGGTCAGCACCAGAGTGGAGAAATGGCAGACAATTTTGGTTTTGGAGGGAACAACCATCCCTGAAGCAGACAAAAACAATTTAGAGTCAAACAGAGTCCCAGGTTCAGCTACAAAAAGGAAAGAAAAAGTAAATAGGTGCACAATACCCTATAAAATGGGTAAAATCTTAATACATTCTATGCCTTTGCATTCTAAAAAACAAAAGTACCTAAGCAGTGAAACACACACTGTGGTGTGCAAGGTTTGCCTTGGGTCAGACACTGCATACCAATAAAGTGAATGCAGTTACTACCTCTAAAGAATGCTCTTTCCTCCATTCTAACCACTAGTTTGAGATCTTGCTCCCACTGCTGGTACAGAAAGTAAAAGCCTGCTAAAATCCAAGACAGCTTGCAAATTCAGTGTCACACAAAACTTATACCAAAGGTTTTCTGAGCAGAATCTGACCTTCCTCTTTCCAAAGGGGTACCTTGGCAAGCTTTGCATCCATTCACAACACAATTTAATAGAGGTACTTTTAATGAACATGTACATGAAATATAAAAGATGATGATGATGTTCAAATAAAACAAAAATAGAGAACACAGATTTAAAATGGATACAAAGGAAACCTTTTCAAGACATATGTAAAGCGTATGCTCTAAGGTATCAACTACTTCAGAAGCTCAAAGGAAGACAGTAGTATTCAAAGAGAGTAACAGGCAACTCAAAAAGAGCATTTTTAATTAAATGTGTAAATAACTCAATGCTTTTACAAAAAGACATTCTCTGACTACTAGATGGATCGTAAAGAACTTAACACAAAAAGGAGAGCGCAATAAATAACTAGGCAGCTTAAGAAACACTAATGACTTAGGCTGTAAAACAGTTTCTACTTTGCCATGTGTTGAGAATCACAAGCATGTTTTAACCATGAGTTTATTGCTAGGAACAACATATGGAAAGAGGAAAACGGTGAAGGGTTATCGCTTCCCTGCCACCTACCTATTTTAACTGGAATTAAAAAAAAAAAAAAAAAAGCCTAACTGCCTGCAATACCTCCAAATCTGCATTAAATCATTACATGCCCCCCTAGACCTTACCTGGCTGAAACACCTTGTAGTAGGGACTGTAGGCCACATTCAAGCCACCGAGTTTTATAGTGATCTCATATCTCCCAGCCCTGCGCACAGTGAAGGCCACTTTCACCACATTGGAATTAGGCTCCTGAAGAACTTCCTGGGTTACAGGAATATCAATTGCTAGCTCCACATGGCAGATGTGAACTCGGAGCCCCACAGGCCGGTGAGCAGGGAAGGGCTGCCCATTCTTATAGAATAACTGCATGGGAAATGGAGAAGTCCAAATCAGCACAAATACGCAGTGCACAAAGAGAGAAAAAACGAGTTGTCTTGTAACAAAGACGCAAAAAGGGCTAGAACCCAGTTCAGCACAGGAGAAAAAGGGGAAAAAAGAGAGAGAAAAGAAAAAAGTCAGCTCTGTCACATGGGCTGTGTTCTCTCAAGTGAACAGGGCACAAGTGGGCATTGAACAACCTTGTCCTCTTTTGTGCTGCGGTTCAAATAAGTGACCCGTAAAGAACATGCCTCTAGGCCTTTCTTCCCTGCACTGTAAGTGCTTATCAAAACAGAAACCAATAGAAACCACTACCAAAAGGAGAAAAAGTAAAGCGACATTCTTACAGAGAAACAAGTAAGTTTTGTGCCTTTGTATCCAGCAAAACTCTGTAGAAACTCTCACCAATCTCTTATAGAAAATGGCGTGCAGGAGACACTAACCTAAGACAGTGATCCAGTCTGTGCTGATATGAAACAGCAGCGTGAAAACAATGTGTTAAACACAGTCACAGTCAGATCAAATACGAACTGATCTGACTAATTTGGGAAGGAATTACAAGGAGGTACTGGTTGAGGTGTAAGGCAAAGAAAAAAAAAAAAAAAAAAAAAGGCCCTAAACACATAGCACTTCAGCTACCAGCCTGTGGACCAAATCCTGCTGGCTGTCAGCAAATGGCCTGCAGACAAGTTGCAAAAACTGCTACTGTTTCCTGCTCCTAAATAAAGGAGGACATAGGGCCTGAAGTAGCATGTGCTTTGATTGACAAGGAGAGTAGCTAGTGCATGCAACAGCTACTGCTGATGAATAAGGACTGAGCAAATGGGAGGCAAGCATGGAGTGGACGGGCAGATTTTTGGAGTTTCCAAGAGTGAAAATAGGGGAGTGGACAGAATAAGTGTAGATAGCAGGAACAGAACAAGTCCCTTTCCCCTTGGTTCTTTTTCACTGCTTGCAATGTGGACAGAACTCCTCCTCACTTGTATTAAGCTGAAGGGTTTTCCCCACCTTTCCAAGAAAGGTGGATGTAACAACTTAGATAAACTTTCCTTCTTACTTAGGTACTCTTTTGGGTAGGCTAGGTGGAAGGAAAAGTGCACGAGCCCAACAAAACCTGTTCAGACTTTCTCCATATTGCTCCAAGCCCTCAGTATTCAGACTCCTCATGTTATTTGTATGCTTGCCCCATTTCCCTAGACTTGGCCTTTTAGGAATTCGAGGAAAGAAAGGTCCTTGACCAGCTTATCCTTATCACACAAAAAAATGCTCAGTTATGGGGGCACTCTTTTTCTGCAGGGATGGGGAACGGAGGGGCTGCGAGGCTTTGTAGTTCTTGTGTTGGTAAAATGCCCACTCCCAGCCTCCCAACTTCAGCTCCACAACCTGGACAGTGGTAACTGCTGAAGGCAAGGCCTGGCCAACTCACTCCCCAGAGAAGAAAGCAGCAGCCAGGATAACCCTGGCTCCCTCTTCAAAGGATTCTAAAGTGACAGAGATACAATTTTAAAGGAATGTGACTCTCAGGTGCACTCAGAGTTCTGCAACACACTTAGCGGAAGCAGAAGACATTAGCAGACAGCTTTCCTGCTCTTAGTCACATCCAGCTTGGCCCCAGTGCAAATTATCTGAAGAGCCTATCCCTAAGGTAGGCCTCTGTTCTACCCCCGAAGCTGCATGGAAACAGAAACATTCCCTTACATGCACTCGGAAGGCCATGCTATGGCCCACCTCATAGGGGTCCTTCCAATCCCAGGAGATTTTGCAGGACCGGGGATCCAGGTAGTTGCCTCGCACGTAGTCATAAATAGTTCGCTCCCCTCGGCGCTCCCGGTCCTCATGCTGAAGGAAGCTGACTATACGTGCGGCGAGCTCAAAGAAGAACTTAATGGTGAAGAAGAAGGCTACCACAGACACTGTGATCCCACCTGCAGCAAGAAGAGAACAGAGGGTGGTTACAGCAGCGTGGTTGAGTCAGACACCAAGATCCCCTCTGCGTCAGCCCAAGATAACTTTCTTTTAATGACAATCTGCTTAACCACAAATTAGAAGTTTAATGCAGAAACCACTGAGCAAACACTTCTGGTGTGTTGTTACGCTAAAGTCAGGTTAGAGGATAACAAGAGTCCCTTAAAACTTTGGAAATAACTGCAAATTGAAGAAAAACAGATAAAGGTGGTACAGAATCTCAGGTATGGCCAATATACATCACAACATAAGTGTACAATTCCCACCAAATGACAAACTAGAACTACAGAGATCTTTTTATTTCAGGAAAAACAGATAATCACACAACCCTTGCACATTGCATTAAGACTGGTTTAAGAAGCATCATGGAGGCAATAAACCTGCACTAGCTCTCAAAAGAAAAAGGAAGGGAATGGTTTAGGAGTGAGGTCAATGGAAGGAGTTTGTCTGAGAATGAAAAGAACGGTGTACAGGCAGGTTGCCAGGTGGGGGCACAGTGCAGAAAGACAATTAACTTCATGTTTGTTAGGTAGACTCTAAACTAACACAAAAGCAAAAGCTTTCAAGAAACCCTTCTAAAGCCTATGGAGAGGCCCACAAACACAGTGGCAGCCTTTCCTTCACTTACCAATAACGTAAAACATCAGGTCCCTTCGGTGAGACACACAGCCGAGGATCACAGCTGCATCTAGAACACAAAATAGGCCAAGTCCAGTCCAATGACTCTTCCTCAGACACATTGGCCTAAACTTAATCCACAATCCCTCAGACAAATGCCCTGGCCCTGCAACACCAGAAGTCTGAAATAAATTCCGCAACTCCTACTCCATTTTAAGTGTCACAGTGAATGCAGAGAACATCTATGTTCCTCTCCAAGGCCTACAGCATTATTTCATCAGGTTGTAAAACATGCGAAGAATTCGGCATGCTGCAAAGAATTTTCTCACCATCATGTTTCTTTTTCAAATTCAGCAGCCTGAAAGAAGGATGATACATGATCTACTGAAACCAGGAAGAGTGTGGCTGGGTTACTTGTTGCAGGATCATTGACTGCAACAGCAGCTGAAAGCCACCTATCCAAACTTTTATACCTACCGGATGTCAAAGATCACATCCTGTACCACAAAGGCAAATCACAGGCAGCAACCACCAAACAGAAAGAAACCGACCCTCAGCCAGCAACCTTAGAAGAAAAGCTACAGAATAAAAAGGGCTGTGGATAAGACCACTCTCATGTGTTCAAAACAAGCAAAACCCATATAGGGCAGGGCTGAATATTTTTTTGCCCTGGAAGTCTAGTATAGAAAGTTTGAATGCAGCTGGAAAATGGTCCTCCTGTATTTCCCTACTCAAGTCTGCAATATGGAAACTGTCCTCATCTGCAATTCTAAAAGCCTGCGCCAGGCTCTCAGAAAGCCAAGAGGCCTTGGAGAAGTGCACTGATCAAAGTACAAGCTAAAACCTTGTTCTCATATGCTATTAAGATCAGAGACACTAATCTAGAATCAAGTTCTCACTGAGGGGACCATTAAACAAACATGTAGTAAAAAGACTTACACCCACAACAACATGCTGTTTGATCAGACATAACTGACAGATGAGAAAAGAGCAGCAGCAGTAGCAAGGAACGTGTGACAATCAGACAAACAATTTGGCATACATCCGTGCATACAATATAGCCCATCACCTCAACATTCGCTTAGTGAGAAGCTACATTGTGCACGCAAGCTGTCTTTTTTTTTTTTTTTTTTTTTTAATAAACACAAATGGAGAGTTACTCATCAGTTGTCTCAGCAGCAAACACCAGCATGCAGAACACTTAAGATGGGCATCTTCTTCTCATCAGTGGCCATCAGTTCCCAGCCCAGCAAATGCCCTTTGCTGGCCTTCAGTGACAGCTGCACATCTTCCATCCCTCTGACCAGAGGCAATCACATACCTTTATACAAGTGTCCATGTTCTAAAAGCCAAAAGGGGGGTATCCATTCTTCAGCATCCTTCCCATGTGTGCCCAGCACTGGGACTAATGTCAACAAGAGGAGGCCATAGATAAGTTCATCACAGATAAAGAGACTCCTGGGACTTGCATCACAGAATCATCGTTGAAGGGTGAGGCCCTGAGCACAGTAATTTTCTTCCTCTTTGTTGCGGAGGGCTGCAGCGATGCTTCCTGAAGCCTAACGTTTGCTGCCTTTCCTGGAAAAGGAAGAAAAGGAAACAGCGCTTGGACCTCTGCCTCGCTGTGCACAATTTAGCAAGTAGAAACATGCAAGAAGTGTAAAATGCAAGAGTCATCACCAGATGTCAAAGCCACAGGAGAGATACTGTAAAGACATTAAAATGTCATGAAGTGCTTGGCTTCACCTCAAACTCCACATGCCACAACCTCACTTCATTATACGGCTGCCTGAAACTGGCATGTTCAGAGTGGAACAAAATACCAGCTTACCTAGGGTTCAGCAGGGAGACAGTTTCCACAGAGTGAGCAAGTACCTGCGCGCTCTTCAAGAGGAGTGCTAAGGGTCAGGCACTGCTTGAAGCTTTCACACCCCGCAAAATAACATGTACTACCCCAATTCAGTGCCCAAGCTGATTTTGCTCAGATCAAGAGGACTATTTACAGTTAAGAATAATAAATCTTCAAAAATTATTGTACTCCAAAGCAGAAGAGAGAGATTTTCACTGCTGATGGTATTCAAAAAAACAGGCATCCTCATAAGGTGCTTCAGCTTCAGAGGCACCATTCACTATATTACAGTTACTGCCAAGAGCAAGACCCAAATCTAACAGCAAGGATTGAAACAACCCACAAAAATACAAGGCTTTTGCCAGACACAAGCCACAGAGCCTACCAGTCTGCATCTATTCATTCAGAAAACATATCATATAAAGGAGCAAGAACAAAATTAACAACAGGCCAAGGCTCAACACAGTGCCTTTCTGCAAAGAGAACCACCACTTCAGGGGATATAAGGGATGTGCTCCACTTGCCTACCAAGCCACATGGCATCTGCCGCTTTCTCCTTACTCGCCCATCACCCACCTCCCCCTCCGGAAGGTGCCTTCCTTTCCCTCCATCCATTAATCACACGGAGCCTGCTGCCTTCGCACACGTCCTCGCAGACACCAGGCCTCCTGGCTCACATGGAACCAACAGGCGAGGCCGTGCGGAGCTCATCAGCTGTGCTGCAGAAGAAGCCAGACTCCCGCTGTCTTTTCCTCCCTCTCGTCTCAGGATAATCCCACCTACTCTGCTATTTTCTTCTTTTCTTCTGTTGAGCAAACAGTCCCCAGGGCATAAACTCTCATTTTCTTTCTAAATGAAGGCTCAGGCTTCTGAACTCTCTCTAAATAAGTACCAAGAATCACAGACCTGTCCATTTCCTTGAAATATGAGTTCTTTCAAAGAGTCTGTGCTACAACACTTATTTGTCCATCCTAAAAACCCCTGCTTGGAACTCTTCTCTGGCTTGGTCCTTCTGCAAAAGTTGTGCACCTCCTCCCTGCACATCAGAGGAATTTCACAGAATTTTACCACTGTGTGGGAATCTGTGAGACCTCCTTCCACATTTTAGAAAACCAGCCTCTTCATGTCACTGAATAAATATCAAAAAAAAAAATCTACCCAAACTATTTCTGCTTTGGTCCATAACTCATTTTATAAAAGATGCAACAAATCAGAGTCTTTATTAGGACAAAAAAAGACCCACAGTTTTAACTCCAAGGCCTTTAAAGCCCATACAAACCTGGGTCACTATACTATGACTATAGAATTTCAGAACTAATTTGCTGCATCCTTCCAACAAGGCATCTCACACAATCAGCACAGCAACTTCTCCCTTTATTATCTCTGCATGATAGGGTAGGCCAGGAGCCAAGACAGGTGGCCCCTGGGGCGAGGCGAGCACCACACGCACAGGCAGCTTCCTTCGAGCACTTACCCTGGCATCAGCTTCAAGGCTGCGCTGCCCCAACACTCCTAACTACGAGGAGCTGGTATCTAGGATATGCTGCCGTTCCCTTACCAGAGTGAAGATCTAAATTAAAATAGTATCAGTTCTAAGAACCACCAACTAACAATCTGGAAAACTAATTCTGAACAACAGCAATATAAGATGTCATCATAGTGAGGCAGAAAAAAAAAAACGCATAGTTGTTTTACCGGTCTTAGTACCCTAGATGCAAAGACAGAGCAAGTGACGGCCTCCTGCCACCTGCAGAAAAACAGGGATCTGGAAAGCTTACTTTTGCTTTATCTCAAAAAGAACCACCTGCACATTTGGGATAAGCAGCATGGAATCATAGATTAAACTATATTAGTGCCACAAATTTTCTCAGATCAGCAAGGGAAATAAGGCCAGCAACAGGAATAAGTTTTGCTCATATTATGCATGCTGTGAAGGCAGAGGAACAGAAGGTAAAGCTCCAGAAAGCAGCCCAACACTAACTGTACTTAGGAAAGCAGCACAACCCAGCAATGGGTTATCCATGTGGCTACAGTTGCAGAGCCACACTACACTGAACAGATTTGACAAGGTCCCAGACAATCTTCAATGCCTCTTGTTTTATTGGGATGAATACTTTCTTTTTTCTCTCCCTTGACAATATCCAAAATAAAGATGACAAGATTAAATCCTTTTTACAGTTTGCCACTACCTCATAAAAACAGAGCAGAGATAATTCTTCATCTGTGAAGAGAACACCCTCTCTATTCGAATAGAGAAACATCCGCTACCAATGGCCACAGGAAAAAGACAAAAAAGATAAAGGCCCACTGTTTTCCTCACAGAAGTCAAACATGCAGAAAGGGACAAACAGAAATGCCAATGGGAATCTAATTTTCAAACACACCCACAGAAGGTTTAAGAGTCAACTCAAAGGGCACTGGGCGGACTCCAATATCAGCTGTCAAGGACAAAAGCAACATCAGTGGCCAAGATCTACATGAACTGATCCGGCTTTCTCGGATCTGCCATACCCGTTCACGCAGTCCCAATACTGGTTACAGGGAAAAAAATATGGTAAAACACTGCCTAAAGTCTAAGACAAGGACCTTTCATCTAGCTGAACAACCCCTGAGGACTCTGAGCTCCTCTGCTCCTGAACACAGCAAGCCCGCCACACGGTAGCTTTCACGTTGGGCTTTTTCACTTCTTACTCTGGCACCAAACTGACTTCCCAAGCCAGAGCGAAGTTCGGCCACTTGCTGCTGTGTACATGGCTGGAGAGAGCAGGGCATCCCCTTGATCACTTCTTTCACCAGAACCATTTAGGTTGCCTTGTCAGCACAGGCAGAGCTCCCTCAACTACGTTTCCTCACCCAATGCTTAAGTCCAGTGCTGTCCTCCAGGTGGCAAGTTCAGCCCTGCAGCCTCCTTGGAGCACCTCACAATCCGATTTTGCTCCTCGCCGCAGCTCAGCTGAGGACAGCATCTCAGTGAGAAACTCTTCCACTGTGTTGTTGCTCTCTGTGTTGCTGCTTTTTCTGACCAAGCAAAGACAACGCTAGGTTGCATGTGAGAGACACCAACAGCAGCCACTTCCTACTAACCCCAGAAGCCTGAATAGGAAAGATACCACACTGAGACCTAGCTCGCTCTTCACTGTACAGGACACTGAAAACCAAGAGCCAAAGCCTAGTCCCAGAACCACAATATTTCCTTCTATGAGCAGGACAGATCTTTCAGGCTACACTGTGCCCTTAAAAAAAAAATCACAGCCAAAGTTATGCTCATGTGTTCAGATCGCAGGTCTGGAGCATCCATACGAAGTACGGATAACGGCAGTGTACTGGTTTTTATGGAAAAGCTGATCAGCTAGAGTCAAGGTCCTACCAACCCAGGGCACGTTAGTTCTGCAGAAGCATGCCAGACACACAAGCAGAGACAAGAGGCTCCCAGCTCTGCAGGAGGAGGCAGGAAGGCGGCAGCGCAGGCAGCCAGCAGGGCAGGCACTTCCCTGCAGCCCACACCAGCCGGGGACGACCCGCTGGGGCACCAGACCCCTCTCCTCTCTGCAGGAGACAGCGGCACTGCCGCAAAACCCAACTCTGCACCCCAAAGCGATTTAATACCTCCCCGAAACACGCGACGCCCAACCCACCGTGCAGAGCAGGGCTGGGCCCGGCGGCCGCTGCGGCCCCCCGAGGGCTGCAGGCGCCAGGGCCCGGGGTGGCGGCCGCTCCCCACGGCCGCCCCGCTG